ATGTACATTGTGCAATATGAATAAATAAATAATTAGTAAGTAGTGGCCCCCTCACTATAATGTGTTATACCTCTATAAGGTAGGACACTCGTTATTAACGCCGCTGTCTACCTGTCATACTCTGGTGTGTTATGCTTCTCCTGACAATAACCTTGCGCTCTGGATTAGCTTACTTTGTTCTGTAACTTTTTTGTTCCTGTCCGTTATCATGGTCCTATCCAGGTAATTGTTATCGCAACGGCTTATTCGTATACCTAGTTTAATTTCGTATGTACACTGACTTCTAAGATACAGGTTTTTTCCTAGTTTAGAAGTCAGGGCCCTTTTGATCTGGCCACAGTCATGATCCTGGAAATGTAAAAAATGTGGTCTCTTTGGTAATAATAAAGATTTTTAATTTTTTTTTTTGTTTACATGTCGTGCGCCCTGCACATTATTGTAATAAATCCGACTATCGTAATCCACCAACATAACACGGGGTTAACCCATTACACACGTACACATAAATAACCCACTGCAATTTTTGCGCGTCAATCATTTCTATGTGCCATTTTGACCGCCTTTTTTCAACGCCCTTGGCGATATCTTGTCCTTTTTCTTGCATTTTATGACATATACTTTATACTGCGATGATACATATTATTATATCAACATAGGATTATAAGAAGGACATATCCTTGATTTAATCCAATCCTATAAAAACATCATAAAAACGAAAGTATATGGTAATCCCATATCTTACTACAATATCATAAACTAGCAACCTGCCCCGGCTGCGGACGAGTGTACTATGCATGTTATATACCTACATATAAACCTTCCAAAAGAATCACTCTATCTATTAAAAAAACCGCATCAAAATCCGTTGCGTAGTTTTAAAGATCTAAACATACATAGGGACAGACGGTGGATAGCGACTTTGTTTTATACTATGTAGTGATGGGAAAGTTTGTATGACTGTTTGTGACGCCTTTACTTCAAAACCGCTGAAGAAATCGGGATGGAACTTGGAACAGAGGTAGATTAATGTCTGGGATAACACATAGAGTACTTTATGTCCAATGGGAACGCTGGCAGAATCTAGTATAATGTCATAAATACGAAGATGTGTGGGAACGTATGTATTAATGTTTGTTTCTCTTTCACGAAAAAACTTCTTGACGGGTTAAAATAAAATGTGGTATAGAGATAGATAATAGTTTGAAATAACACACTTAACATAACATCACGCCTTTTATCCCCGAAGGCGTAGGCAGAGGTGCACATTATGCCACTGTACAATGTAACACCAACTTTTCACTATTTATGTTATGAGTCCCATGTAATAGGGGGTGAGCCTATTGCCATATACCGGGCACAATTTCATACTCCGTGCTACTACTGAGATTTTTTTGAAAACCCAGTAATACTTTGCCCGACCTGAGAATCGAACCCGAGACCCGACAGTCGCACATGCAATCACACGGCCAACGAGGCAGTAAATATTTGTAATATTCGTGGGATACCAAAAACATACAAGTCCATAACAGCTTAGTTTAAAATTATGTACCAGTGTATGACTATCTCGTAACTTATTACGCGAGACTCATAACATAAACGGTGATTAGTGAGTGTTCCTTTCCTGGAATATTAGGCAACTAAGCAGACGTACCACCTGATGGTAAGCGATCAGCGAATAATAGAACTTAAACGGGGATTATGGGACTCATAACATAATTGGAGATTAGTGGTTGTTACATTAC